TATTATAATCAGTCAATGATGCAATTAGAAATATCTCCTAGGTAATGACAATAACTCCGGAATTTTTCAGGCATAATTGACAAAAATATAAAATATTCTTGCGTTGTAAAATCGATTTATCTAGATATAATAAGTACGTACGATAAAGCTGATAAATCTCTRATATGTCGACGGCCGTACTTTAGGTACCTATTAAGTACTATCTTAAGATAGCGATAACATGTATCTAGTATCCATCTCTAGAAATTACCTTCAAAGTCGACCGATTTGTAGGCGCGCAGTTCACGTTCACTTCACATCCAGTACAACATAACCGTAAACTTTTTGTTCTGACATCGATTTCAGTGAGTTCATACATTTTTGTTTAATTTTACTCTTTTCATTTTTGCTATGGAGATCGAAGAAATGAAAATAAAATTCGAAAATGCAATTTTCTCGGTAATTGATGAGAAAAAACGGGACGATAACAGAGCATAGGTACATCAATACCGTGCAGTATGACGAAAAAATATCGGCCGTTAAAAGTGCGAAATTAAAAAAAAAAGACCACAAGATTACAGATTGATTCGTAAGTACGGTGTTATGACTATTGCTGGGAAAGAAAAATTAATTAAACCCATATCAGATGAAACAGTTCTTTATTATTTGAAAGTTGATGAAATGTTCGACGTCCGACTCATATTGCAATTGGACATGGGGGAAGAGATAGAATGGTGGCTGAATTAAGACATAAATATTGTAACGTTACCAAAGAATCAATTATGGTTTTTTTAAGCTCCTGTTCATATTGTCAAAAAAAAACAACCTAATCCGAAAAAGGGTTTGGTTTCGAAGCCTATTGTGCACACAGCTTTTAACTCTCGGGCACAAATTGATCTAATCGACATGCAATCACAATGTGGAGTGATGTAAAAATTGTACATGGCAAACCACGACATAGCCAGAGCCAAGGGTCGGTAGAACGTGCTAATAGAGATATTGAAGCAATCTTAGCTGCRTGGATGACAGACAACAATAGTAAAGATTGGCCAACCACTCTCAAGTTTATCCAGTTTCAAAAAAATCGAGCGTTCAATTCAGGTTAGTAATCTTTTGTTATTATTTAATTAATTATCAACACAATTAATTTATACAAAAAATATTATTTATATTAAAAATATGAAAATATTAAGTCAAAAATAAAAATAAATAAATTCAATTCTAGGAATAGGTCGTTCTCCTTATATGAAGCCATGTTTGGCTGTCCTGCAAAAATCGGATTAGCTTCAACAAATATTCCTTACGATGAAATTTCTAAATTAGAATCAGAAGAAGACGTTGAAAATATATTTAAAAATCAAAATGAAAACACCGAAGAACTTGAAGTTGAGGGTGAAGGAAATCGTGATATTATAGGTARCTAATACAATTGCATATTTTTTCCTTTTTACATTTTTGGATTTTTGTAATATCTTAGATTCGAACAAAGATGAAATTAATAATCATAGACAAGGGGCCATAACTAACCTTCAAAAGCAGGTACAAAAAATGATGAAGTATTCTAATACTAAGTTAACAGAACTTCAAGTAGAAACTACTGTAAGAGTAACTATACCTGACGTGGATAGAGCACGTGGCTCACCCCTTAATCTTTTGGCGGTCATTGTTGCATATGAAGCTGATATGTATAAATTATGTAAGTACAATAAAAATTAATTGTTAAAATAAATTAATAACAATATTAAAATAAAATACTATGTAGGTACGGAGTATGGCATGCTAAAAAATAGGTTCACTAGAGCACAACTCGTTCCGTGT